CCGGGAGCGGGAAACCAGTCACAGGAACACGGAATAGCGGGAACGTGAAGGCTGTACTCTTTTTGGGGACACAGTATATTACAATTTCCTTTTTAAATAAATGGACATTATCTATTGAGTTGTGTACATGATTTTTCAGGTGGTCTCTGCAACCAATACCCTTTAGCCACCACACGTGCCCACTGACAAAACTGAAAGATGGCAGTACAGTCATCTGAATAAAGGTAGTTGCAGCTACTTCATTCATTCATCATCACCATTCCACTAGTTGCCAGCAGACCATCTGCACTATTGGAGACCCCAATGGCACTGCAAGAAGTGATGTTCTACCACCGTACCCTATTTGTTCAAAGACACTCTACATATAGATTCAGCAACAGCAACGGATGATGCACAAATTTCCTCATGGTCGACCACCTGGGACCACCTGTGACAGCAGCATATGGACCAAAATAGAAAGGAAGTTGTATTCCCCTAAGAAGTGCATTATAACATATATAGAGGATAACGGCATGAGGGATGAAAAGTTTATGTGAAGGATGTAAAACACCTTTGAGAAATATTAACATCAATTATGGTGTCTCAGTCTGTGAGTCTATCGGTTCCACATGTATAACTGGTTTAAGGCCATTTTTACGAGTCCTAGTTTGAGGGGCTAAGACTTAGGATCTTAGACTTATGACCCCTATCTTCAGAAGTCTGCTTTGTTCAGAGCAGATATTGGCATTTTTGTGACTTATAAGCAAGCGGTTATTTAGCATGAGCTTGTTCATTCCTGAAAACTATTTTTGGTCAATGTCTCACATCTGCTTGTAAAAAAAAAATAAAAAAATAAAAAAAATAAAAAGAAATCTTGGAAAACGTCAGATGGGCAATATTTGAAATGATATTGAGTACTGCTAGAACTGAAGGGAAGCATTGTTACGTCAAATAAAGAGATAAAGAGCTATTATATGTTTTAATCTACAGTTTTGTCCCAAAGTGTGAGCTTTCAGAGGCCATTCAGAACACCTGCAGCAGTGTGGTTGCTTGTAAGATAGAGCTTTTTGTTACAGGCTTTTTCTTTGGAAGATAATACCATAATAGCTCATTTGGCAGCAGGAGTGGTATTTACAGCTGTGGACACATAGTAAGAACTTACATAGGCGCAATGTGGTAGTTTCAAAAAAGAACATTTTGTGATGTAACCTCATAACATAAAAATATCAAAGCAAAATGAAATGTCTGTAATTAATAATGGTTATTTTCAAAATCTATTTTTGTATTACACACCACTGAGCAGAAATTTTCCTTAACTTTGAAAGACAAGCCAACTTTGAAGTGAAGTATTAGTAGTCATGCTTAAATTATATGGTTCAGCAACTGCTCACGAGTCGCAGGCCATCTGTGACGGTATTCTTAAGGGTGTATATGCAGCATTTCCTTGGGGTTATCTCTCTGTGGTTTAGTCCTTGTCAGGGGCATTGCATGGTAACAGAAATATCAGGGGCTTCATTCCAAGGGGAAATTTTATGGTCCCTCTTGCATATATTGACTTAAGTTTCTCCATAAAAGTCCACTCCTAAACCCCAATGTGTTCTACATACGACATTGTGATAAACGTCTGAGTATTACATGAATCTACATTTAGAAACCCCACACCTGCTGTATTAACAAATAGCCATGCTGTATTAACTAGACTTGTGCATTAGGTTTTGCCGGAATTGCAAGTTGTCCCAGTTTAGGACAGTCGTTGGTTCAATGGAAGTATAACCGAGCAAATGATACAATGGATGAGCATGTTCATTTGCTTTTGGATATAGAGTTCAGCCTTGCCACACAGAAATTAGAAAAAAGATGTATCCATTTGATTGTTATGTCAGGCAGCAGTCATGCTCCCCACTCCCTATTAGCTCCGTGGTTGGCCTTTAAACTTAAGTTGTTCTGGTGACTATAGTGTCCCTTTAAGCTGCAAGAAGACATGTATTGCCACTGCTAAGATCTTCTTTAACCTGTTTAATTATGTACCATCTAAAATACTGGTTACCAGCATACTGACTCAAGTCCCATATTACCCATTAAGTTGGCTAGGTCTACACCCATTTGGATGGAGTAGCACATTATCGTTCATTTATTTTTTTTAAAAGCGTGTATTGGTGTTCCTTCTCAGATACATTCCCTTTAAACATCAATTTGTGCTGCATGGGACATGTAATCCAGTAAACAGAGGAAAGTTAAGTATTCACAGCAAGCTTAAAGGAACACTATAGGAACCAAAATAACTTTGGCTTAATAAGCAGATTTGGTGTATAGATCATGGAGTTAAATAACTTTGTTTATAGAGTCCTAGTCATGCCTCCCTGCATGTGACTTTCCTAAACACTTCCTGTAAATGTTCTAATGTTTAAATTCCTCCTTTTTTTCAAATTCTGCTTAATTTGGAATATCTTATCTCGGGCTCTGTTACTAGTCTTCTAGAGCCAACAGGAGTCTACTGTTTGTGATTAAAGTTCAATTTACAGAGCAGGAGATAGAAACTTTTAAAGTAGGTTAACATCTGATTGAAAATGAAACCATTTTTTCATGCAAGCTGTGGGAGTCACAGCCAGGAGAGGTTTGGCTAGGACTGCATGAACAGGAGCGAAAAGTGATTTAACTCCTAAATGGCAGAGAATTGAGCAGTGAGACTGCAGGGCATGATCTATACTTAAAAACAGCCTCATATAAGCTTAAGCTAATATGTTGCCGCTTTACTGTCCAAAGCCTTATACCTATACTATTTCCTACCCACCTTCCAGGACAGAGGTGGGCAGGCAAGCAAATTAGCTGCACAAAGTGTTGGATACTGTCTGTGAAAGGTCACTTCTAAAGAAAGTTGTGTGCCTGTACCCTCTGGGCAGACGATGCATGGAGCACTGCTCAACCACTCTGTGCTGTGGTTCTTGTGCCCAGCCCCTGCCGGCATCTTGAAATCAGCCCAGCTTTTACAGTGTGAGAGAGATTCCCAGGACTAATTTTCTTCAGGGACTGTACATCATTATATAGGACAGTCCCAGCAAATTGTGGGCTGTTGACCTTTATAAGAGCAATCAGCTGAGAGTCAATGAGCTAGCATTGCGCTACAGGGTTTAGCTCAGGACAGCATATGAAATCTAGAGGGGCTTCAGGCTCACACTAAGCAATAAGGCATGTGAGGAACAGTGCTTGGCAGGTTCCAGAAAAGAAGTCAAACTATTCTAAAACAATTGGACTCCTTATCACTCCTGACACCATAACAACTATTCAACTCTATAATGAGGCTCTCCAAAGAGGGGATTGCTGGGAGGTTGGAAGAAAAACCCAGACACAAATAACCTTGTACACAGATGTATCCCCAATACACTCACCATTATAACTTCCATTAAACACAAGCAGTCATATACACACTTTTCCATTTATCCACAGCAGCAACAAAATGACAAACAACTCACATCTCACATGCTGCCATAAATACAAATGCAACTCTCATAATACCTTCATGCACCCTGGCCATACATAGCTCTCATCATATGGAATTTGCCCCTACATGTTCACATAGAACTCCCATGGAAAACAGCCAAGTGAAAATATAACAATTGGCTATGGAAGGGAACGCAGGATTTTATGGAGCTGAGATATAAAATAGGGAGAAATTGAATGCTGCTTAACAGAGACTGAAGAGTGATAAAGGCATTATGGCACCAGCAGTGGAATTGAAAGTAATAAGGACACTTTTACTGGCTGTTATTCACCCCCATTCTATGATTGTAAAGCTCAGAAGAACATGTGTGTGTCACAAGCATTTATACTGTGCTAATAAGTTTCTTCCTGTTTTGAACAATATGTATCACAATTCCCGTGGATTTATCCTAAATGAATGGTATATACAGGTCCATACTTTGCCTATAGTGTGTTTCCCAGGCCACAGTGCCTTTATATGTCAATCTGCCTGTGCCTTTGAGGATGAGATCACAGAAATTGCATGATGAATGAGTTCCGATTAAATCAGCTTCACTTCCTAGCATAGACCAGTCTCCATATCTTTGCCCATCATCCTTGGAAAGCTACTATGGACACATTCCAGTTATGGGATTGTTGATGTTAACAATTTATCCTTTGGAGTGGTGAATTACCAGTTGTTCGTTGAACTCTATCAGGGAGGTCACCTTAGTAAGAACTACAATTTCTGGTTTTATAAATGTATTTGCTCCTCCAGTCCCTTGGCTACAGATTGAAAACATGACTTCTTGTCTTTTGAAGGAAAACTGTCAGAATGTTTTATTATTTAAAATTAGGCTTGTGCAGGCAAAACATTTCAGTTCTTCCAAAACACTTCTGCGATATTGTTTTTGTTTTAATTTTAGATCAACAGAATTTAGTTGATATAACTATTCATTTCAGACGAATTCAGTAATTTAAAAAAATTCAGCAAAGCCATTCAGACAGACAGTGCAGAAGGAAAAATGGCAATATCGCTGTGCTGGCTTGCAAAAATGGCTACAATATTGCCTGGCCTATTGACTATGACATCATGGCTAATGCCAAAATTAGACAATTATATATCTGGATTAAAAAAATAAATGAGAGAACTTACTTATTTAATGATTGCTTATAATATTTTTCCTCTTTTTCTTTTTGTTTTATGTGTGACTTTTAAAAAAAAAAAAGTCAGTGGGTATTTGACCACCCATTCACCCCTTTCACCTTGTAAAAATTATACCTTTCTCATATATGGGTTTGATTCCACCATTTATTTCCAACATTGTTTTTTTTTTTAAATGTTGGTATTAATTGGCGGAATCAATTGCCAACTCACATTTTCCTTCCATTTTATTTAATTCTTAGATTTCAAATGAAAAACAAATTTTTTATGTAACAGGGTTGATGTTCCAGGAGGGATAAGCCAAATGGCAAATGATTTAGGTAAACTAGAAAAATGGTCAGAATTGTGGCAACTGACATTTAATAAGTGCATGTAAAAACCCAAGGGCAGAGTACAGAATATTTGATAGAGTCCTAACCTCAACATCTGAGGAAAGGGATTTAGGGGTGATTATTTCTGATGACTTAAAGGTAGGCAGACAATGTAATAGAGCAGCAGGAAATGCTAGCAGAATGCTTGGTTGTATAGGGAGAGGTATTAGCAGTAGAAAGAGGGAAGTGCTCATGCCATTGTACAGAACACTGGTGAGACCTCATTTGGAGTATTGTACACAGTACTGGAGACCGTATCTTCAGAAGGATATTGATACCTTAGAGAGGGTTCAGAGAAGGGCTACTAAACTGGTTCATGGATTGCGGGATAAAACTTACCAGGAAAGGTTAAAGGATCTTAACATGTATAGCTTGGAGGAAAGACGAGACAGGGGGGATATGATAGAAACATTTAAATACATAAAGGGAATCAACACAGTAAAGGAGGAGACTATATTTAAAAGAAGAAAAACTACCACAACAAGAGGACATAGTCTTAAATTAGAGGGACAAAGGTTTAAAAATAATATCAGGAAGTATTACTTTACTGAGAGGGTAGTGGATGCATGGAATAGCCTTCCAGCTGAAGTGGTAGAGGTTAACACAGTAAAGGAGTTTAAGCATGTGTGGGATAGGCATAATGCTATCCTAACTATAAGATAAGGCCAGGTATTTAGAAAATTGGGCAGACTAGATGGGCGTGTCCCGCCTGAAACTAAGAGCGCGCCGCGAGTGTCGGGCGCTCTCTTAAAGAAACAGTGGGAGCCTAATTGCCAAAAGGCTCCCATTGGCTCCTGTCATACCACACTCCCTGTACAATTACCTATAGGGGGTGTGGAAGTGACAGGAGCCAATCACTTTCGTTTAAAAGCTATTTAAACTTACCTTTTTCCCTTAGCTCGTTGCCCTATCGTGGTTTCTGTTTCAGTTCCCTTTAGCGCTTGTGGTGTTCAGTTGTGTTTTCTCGTATTGACTTTGGCTTCGTATTCTGACTTCGTTTTCGCTTTATCCTTATCTGTACTGTTTGCCGGCTTGCTGTTTTCCGTGTACCAGACCCCGGCTTGTCCTAGTTTACGCTGTCTCTCTGTGCCCTTGACCTCGGTTTGTTCCTGGCTCTGTCTCCTCTCATATACGTCGAGTCCGGCCATTCTAAGGTCCGGTAGACGTATCTCTCCTCTGTATTTGCCTCTGTTTAGCTGGATCCTGCGTGTAGGGGTATATTCTCGTTACATTACGATAGGGCCATGGACCCCGCAGATTTAGCTCAACAGATGGCGTCCCATGAGGCAAGATTTGTAGAGCAGGATCACCGTATGGATCAAATAGCTCAGGCTCTCCAGACGCTCCTAGCTAGAACCGTTCCAGCAACTACACCTAACCCTCCTACGCCCCTTCTCCCTGAAGTATCTACTTTGCCTAATACTTCGGCCCATTTAACACCTCCTCCTAGGTATGGAGGGGACTCTAAGACTTGCAGAGGGTTTATTAATCAAATTGAATTCCACTTCGAAATGTATCCACGTTCATTTCCCACAGAGAGGTCTAAGGTTGGGTTCTTTATGCACCAACTTACCGATAAGGCACTTGAGTGGGCAAATCCTATTTGGGAAGCTAATGGACCTATGGTACATGATTTCAACAGTTTTCTTACGGCTTTTCGTAGAACTTTTGACACAATGAAAAGGTCAAAGAATGCCGCGAGAGCATTAATGAGAATTAAACAGGGTTCTAGGTCTGTGGCTGATTATGCTATTCAGTTTCGCACTCTTGCTTCGCAGGTAGATTGGACCAACAATGGGTTAACTACTGCCTTTATGGAAGGTTTGTCAGATACGATATTGGATGAGGTAGCAGCTAAGGAGCTTCCTATTGCCTTAGAGGACCTTATCGATTACCTCATTGATATAGATAATAGAATTCGTGACAGGCTCTATACCAAGAACAGGAATAGACGTTTTGTTACACCCATTAACCCCAGAGTTAATATACCAGAGAGTGTTAAAGTGTCTGAGGAGGAACCTATGCAATTAGGGGTTGCCAAACTCTCTGATACTGAGAAATTACATAGGAGAAGGGAGGGACTCTGCCTATACTGTGGTAGGAGAGACCATATGGTAAAGGAATGTCCTTTACTCCCGGAAAACTCTCGCACCTAAGACCTTATAGGGGACTGGCCTTGGGTGTGATATCTAAGTCTCCTAAATTGCCTCCTAACCGCTTGCTTCTCCCGGTTTCTTTATATATGGGAGAGATTTGTATAGTTGACAACATATATGCTCTGGTTGACTCTGGGGCAGCTGAAAATTTTATAGACTCTGGCTTTATAAAGAGAAACAACATTCCCATCAGAGAGAAGGAGATACCCTTGGCCGTTGAGGCCATAGATGGTAGACCATTAAGTTCTCCAGTTGTTACTCATGAGACTGTACCATTACACATGTACACAGGGGTTTTACACTATGAAACCATTCGATTCCAGGTCATCACCTCTCCCTCTTCACAAGTAGTATTAGGGTATCCATGGTTACGTGCTCACAATCCCATTTTTGAATGGGAGACAGGGCAAATAAAATCATGGAGTGAGACCTGCCACGAGTCTTGTACGTTGGAAGTCACACCTTTGAATTCTATTGAGGTACCTACCAGTCCTCCTTTGTCTACGGTTATACCCCCTCAGTATTTATCTCTAAAGACTGTTTTCGATAAAAGGGAGGCTGAGAAATTACCGCCTCACAGACCCTATGATTGCGCTATTGACTTGTTGCCTGGCACTATACCTCCAAAGGGCAGGGTGTACCCCTTATCGGTTCAAGAAAACCGTGTCATGGAGGAGTATATTAAGGAATCACTAGAAAAGGGGTTTATTAGGAGATCCTCTTCTCCAGCTGGAGCAGGGTTCTTCTTTGTATCGAAGAAAGAAGGTGATTTAAGACCGTGTATAGATTATAGAGGTCTAAACAAAATCACTATCAAAAATGCATACCCTATACCTTTAATTACAGAATTATTTGACAGGCTGAAACATGCCACTGTGTTCACTAAATTAGACCTTAGGAGTGCATACAATTTGATACGTATAAAGGAAAATCACGAATGGAAGACTGCATTCAACACTAGATCCGGTCATTACGAATATACTGTTATGCCATTTGGGCTTTGCAATGCCCCAGCAGTATTCCAAGAATTTATTAATGATGTCTTAAGAGATTTTATTCACACATTTGTTATCGTATACTTGGACGACATTTTAATATATTCTACAGATATACACACTCATCACAGACATGTTACGACAGTTTTGAAGACCCTTCTTGCTAATGGTCTTTATTGCAAGCTAGAAAAATGTCTGTTTGACCAAACCGAAGTCCAGTTCTTGGGGTATTTGATTTCCGCTAAAGGTTTTCGTATGGATCCCCAGAAGCTAGCTGCTGTAATAGAATGGCCTCTACCGCAAGGTCTGAAAGCTATTCAGCGTTTTCTTGGGTTCTCCAATTATTATAGACGTTTTATCAAAGGTTTCTCGTCCATTGTAGCACCTATTACCCGTATGACTAAAAAGGATGGCAATACTCGTGTTTGGTCTACCGAGGCACTTCAGGCTTTTGAATTTCTTAAAACTACGTTCGCCTCTGCACCTATTTTACAGCATCCTGTCCCCTCACTGCCCTATATTCTTGAAGTTGATGCTTCGGATATTGGGGTAGGTGCTGTCTTATCCCAAAGAGAGTCGCCTGAAAAGCCATTGCATCCATGCGGCTTCTTTTCTAAACAAATGTCCAAAGCAGAGAAAAATTATGATGTGGGTAATCGCGAACTCCTTGCTATTATTTTAGCACTTAAAGAGTGGAGACATTTGTTAGAAGGAACTAAGGATCCTATCCTCATTTTTACGGATCACAAGAACCTATCCTACCTTAGCGAAGCCAAAAGATTGTCTTCCAGGCAGGCTAGGTGGTCACTATTTTTGTCCCGTTTCAATTTTATTATCACCTATAGGCCAGGTGATCGCAACACTAAAGCAGACGCTCTGTCCAGACAGTTCGAAACTACCGACAAACAGGAGATTGATGTTACTCCTGTCATTCCCCCAGACAGGATAATAGCTACTACTATTTTGTCTATTTCCTCGTCCCTCTTGCAGGCCATACAAGCGAAACAAAGCATGGCACCTAGCGAGAGGCCTAATGATAAACCGTTCGTTGATGTTCCTGAGAGACGGGATATTATGTCATTATATCATGATACTAAGACTGCTGGACATCCTGGTATTTCCAAAACGGTGTCAGCTGTTTCTCGGTATTTTTGGTGGGATTCCTTACGAAAGGATGTCACTGACTATATAAGTGCTTGTACTACTTGTGCCTGTATGAAATCCTCCCGTAGAGTTCCTTGTGGGCTGTTGCATCCGTTACCCGTTCCCGAGAGACCTTGGTCTAACCTGTCCATGGATTTTATTGTTGAATTACCCCCTTCAAATGGTAACACAGTAATCCTGATGATAGTGGATCGGTTCTCCAAAATGGCTCACTTTGTGTCTCTTCACAAGTTGCCCACATCCAAGGAACTGGCTCATATCTTCGCTAGAGAAGTATTTCGATTACATGGGATTCCCGTATCTATTGTATCCGATAGGGGTAGCCAATTTATTTCCAGGTTCTGGAGGGCCTTTTGTTCAGAAATGGGTATTTCTCTCTCATTTTCTTCCGCTTATCATCCCCAGTCTAATGGGGCTGCTGAACGTGCCAACCAGTCTCTGGAGCAATACCTCCGTTGTTTTGTGTCTCACCATCAGGACAATTGGTCTGACCTGCTTCCTTGGGCTGAATTTGCTCGGAATAACGCCACTCATGATTCTTCCGGCAAGAGCCCTTTTTACGTTGTCTATGGCCAGCATCCCGTTGTTCTTCCGGCTGCATTCTCCTCACAGGGCATGCCAGTTCTGGATGAGCATTTGGCTGGTTTGCGTAATACTTGGGAGCAGGTTCAGCGTTCTTTGGTGGACTCTGCTACTCGCCAGAAGGCTCAGGCTGACAAGCATCGCAGAGCAGCTCCGTCCTATGTTGTGGGGGACAGGGTTTTGCTTTCCACGCGGAATATTCGTCTCCGGGTGCCTTCTATGAAATTGGCTCCCCGCTTCATTGGACCTTATCGTATTATACATAAGGTTAATCCTGTTTCTTATGCCTTAGGCCTGCCTAAGAATCTACGTATTCCTAATGTTTTTCACACCTCATTGTTGAAACCTTTCGTA